TTTTTTTTGGCTGTGGACGCCCTTCAGGACTGCCTTCTTGGCCTTCAATGCCTTTGCTTTGGCTTCAGTTTTGGGAGGGGCAGGGGCTTCCTTCTTTGCTTTCGGCGCCATCTTCGTCCAAACCTATTCTTGAGGTAATTTTAAATTCAGGTGAGATAGACTCAAGATCATGCCTTAGTTAGGCCTTGATCTTTCCTGAGGGCTAGACTGTGAATAAGGATGACAGAAGAATGGGTGCCTTTGAATATCCCTGAACTACCATAAGAATAAACAGATGTCTTAAAGAAAATGCAGCCAGAGTGCTCCTTGGAGGCAAAGATGATAAAGTTTTGTGTCACATACTTTGGACATGTTCCTTGGAGAAGCTGTTCATTGGAGAAGGACATCATGCTTGGGAAGGTGGAGGGTTGGCAAAACAGAGGAAGACCCTCAAACAGGTGGATTGACACGTGACTGCAGCAGTGGGCTCAAGTGTATCAGAGATTGTGAGGATGGCACTAGATAGAATAGGTTTCAGATCTGATGTTTATAGGGTCGCTATAAATTGTACTCAACTCAATGGCATGCCGCACCTAACAACAATATGAAGAAGTTATCATTTTGAAAATTACAATAGACATAGTGACTACAATAATGATCTTGAGATTGGTGGAGATCATGACAATGGTACATAATAGGGCCAGGTTCTAAACTGTTGTTTATAGAACCTTTGAAAAAGAGATTAAAACCTAGCAATGACAATAGTAACCTTTTTTAAAAAAGAACCATTGTGTACTGCTTTTGAAACTAGTATATGTTAAGGGAAGCCTATCATATATAATGAAACTCTTATTGAACTAGAAGTACTCAGAGGTTTGTTCTTACTCTGCCATTAATTAGATGGAAAATTTGGAGTGAGTCTTTTCGTTTTTGTGGGCCTCCATCTCCTTGTTGGCTATATAAATGGGCTAATGACTTAGGATTCTTCCAGACCCGAGATTCAGTAAGCACTGATAGTTCATTTGGATTCTAAGTGAAAGAGATCACTAACCTACCATAAATATGTAGGAAAACAATGTGAAAGAGTCAGAATTTAAAATTTCAGGTAGAGATCAGTTACTTACAAAGTTAAGATTTTCTCTTTTTTATTTTTCTTCTTTTACTTTAAAACAGGTAACAACTAAAGCTAAGCAACTGAAGGACTCAGTTACCTGTTCCCCAGGTGAGTTAGCATCCACTTTATTACCATAAATTCTTAAAAATAATTACCTTTTTAAAAACT